GTCTGATAGCCTTCTTGTCCCTGCATGCTCATCAACATTTCTTGCATGACTAGATTCTGCTGAGTGATATTTCTTATGTTGGCTGCTATTGTCGCCATTTTTCTAGTCAGCCTGGCTGCTACTCCCCCTCTACCCCTATTGGAGGCCTTGGGCGAGCTGCCTGAGCAGCATGCGAGGGTTTCCCTTCTTCAGGGTGTTTCCTTGTTCTTCTAGGGGCATGCTCGTCCATGAAACTCATCTCTTGATTATTTTAGTAAGTGACTTTTTATCCCGTTCTTCAAGGGTTTCAAGTCCTTGGTCGTTCTTACTGTAATGATGCTCATTTTTCAAGGACAAGCACTCTTTCCCGTCGATCTTTTTAGAAATGTAACCTGACCTTTCTTCGTACGTGTATTCGTCGTTAAATGTAGGTATTTCCCACAGACGGCGCCAATCTGTTGACCCCAAAAAATGAACTCAACAGATACTGGGCCCACTCTTACCACTTCAAGTACGATTCCAGCACGTTTTTACCGGAATATGAATGGTAATCCAACTGTAGTGAACGTGGGAGGTACTTTCAAAAATGTTAAGGTTCCGGCGATATGATTCCAGGACAATCACACTATCAATGATCTCCTTTGAACGAAAAATGATAATGAAATATGTGGAAGGATAATATGATGAGTAGATGAGTTCCCTCTTTTTCAGTAAGAATTCGAATGTTTGTATAAGTATGTTTCTACTCTTTACATCAATCCACCGTCCTCTTTTTCTATACAGAGAGTGGCTATTTATACTGTTCTAGCCGACCGGTGATCATTGGATCAAGTCCACGTGGCGACATCTCCTAAGCCAAAGCTTCACATCATTGTCCACTCATTACATTTAATGTTTTGACTAAAGGTCAGCCGTTCTAGTAGTTGGCTGACAATGATTGAAATTACAGACACTTTACTACAGACATCACATCAATCAATTCAGAAAGATCTTCAAATCTGGTGTGAGGCAGCGTCGATTTCATGAGCTTCGGACGAGCTTGACAGAATCTCGAATTGGGTTGTGCCTTGTCTTTGAGGAGGTGCTTCAAGCCGAGGCTTGTTACTGTGACAGCTCGGATGCTAGGTTAATGACCTCGGCCTATTTCCTCACTGGGACTTCCGACCTAATGGCCTTACTTTTGACCATTCGTTGACCGTTCTGCCACGTGGCGTGACACGTGGCTTAGCCTCTTTAGACCTCGGAATGTAGGGGTAACACGTCACAATTTATTTATCGATCACAAATTATAAGCATTATAAGTCACACCTTATTAGACAGTCACAAATTATCAAATTATCGGTCATATATTAACAATTTTTTAATTCACATTATTTCTTGGTTACAAATTATCGAATTTTAATAACACATTTTAATAGTTAGTCACAATGAACCAAAGTGTTTGCGATATTAATTTCATTTTTTTCTTCTAATACCATTTCGTGTACGATAACCCACCTTATCAAACAACCAATCGTTTCTAA